ATGGGCTTGTGAAACACACATGAGACACCCTGAGGACCCCCCTGAATAGTTGGGAGGAATCTGAGGAGGGTGGAAATCCCCCAGGTAAGGTCAGAGCCAGAGAACTGTGACCTTGAGTCTGCGATTAGTTCTCTTCTCACCCTGAGGCTGGTTTGGAGCAGATGGGTGACACCGGTCACTCCTTCATCAGAGGGTGGGAAAAGGAATTAGTCACCCTGCCCAAGAGGGTGACTCCCCACGTGCCTGCCTCCCTGTCACTTCACCGCTCCAAGGCGGAGCATGCCATGGTGCCATGTGAAGAGTTGTGTTTCTAGAAGATTCACAGACGTGCCATTGTCTCGACCTCAGACTAACCCCACATCTGTGTTACAACACATCTGTAACACTCTCGGTCCGCCACGGCCAGAACTGTCCCCAGGAGATGAATGCTGACCAGCCAGCAGCGTGCCTGACTCAGGGTGTTTTCTTTTGTTAAGTCTGGTCCCGAGTCACCAACACTGGTTCCCAATGGAATTTTCAGAGCACGTGGCAAATTTGGCTTGCGTATTTCTAGGGCTGAAGAGTGCGGAGTCGGAGCAAGGTTTGAAGTGCCCCCAGGGAATATGCTTCCATGCGTTAGGCAGAGGGGTTGGCCAGAGTCCTGAGGAGACAGAGCATGTGGATGGGTTGGATGATTCATGAGCACTGAGCGAGATGACGCTTCTGGCTCCCAGATCTTTTTCCAAAACTTGCAGGGTGTGGCTGGGAAGATGCCTCCCACCCTGTACAGAAGGGCACTGGTTTCCAGCGTGGCTCAAGTTTTACACAAAGTCACTAACATCACCTCACTTAGCCCTTTTTATAACCTGTTCCAAGAGTCACTGGGGAGCTGGACAGGGTCAGAAGTGGCCTTCGAAGGAAGGAGACCTCAAAAGACATCAGGATAGGTTAGCTCTATCACCAAGTTATCACCTCTGCCTCGGCCTACGCTGCAGGAGCTGGCTCGGAAAAGGCACAGTCAGGTACTCATTATTTTACATACGGGGATTTTTCTGAGTACTAAGTATGAAAGCTAAGGCCACTTGCAAATATGAGGCCCATGCTACCGGCGTAGAATTGTCTAGTAAACTGTATCCCCACAGAAAATGTAGACAAACTTTGAATTCCAAAGTGCTCAGTGTCAGACGAGGTGGGAGAGAGTGGAGGGAGGTGGGTGTGTGGAGGGAAAGGCCGGAGACCGCCCTCACTAGGGCGCATGCAGCTTGAAGTCTGACAGCAGAGCAAGGCTTGAGGGGAGACTGCAGCCCTCAGACTTTTCAGTTATTAGATTTACATTCTCACAACAGGGGGCACTGGAGCCAGGAGCTGGGACACTGACACTCCCCAACCTGATTTAAAGTTGATCCTTCAAAGGCTGCTGTTTTGATAGCCCCTCGCAGCCTGGGCCCCAGAGCGGCCCATCACACTCTCACTTCAGAGTGGGAGAAATGAAAGGTTTAAAGACCAAGGCCACAGGTGAATCAAGAGTCAGATCCAGAAAGCCAACTTCTCTTCCAACATCTGTAGAGCTTTGTGATTCTTGGAGCGTTTCCATGTCCAAAGGTTGACTCTGACTCACTGCTTCCGCTTTCCTTCCTTTTCTGGGTGCAGGGTTCAGAAAACAGAAAAGCATCATCCCTCCTGGGGTTTGGCACGTACCCTCACCCCGTAGCTGCTCAACCGTAAGCCCACGTGCCTCTGCCAGGAACAGGGGCTCCGCGTCACGGGGATGTAGCCACGACAGGATGTTGGAGTCGGGGCAGGCAGGCTTGGGCCCCAGCACTTCCTACAGACACTGGCATGGCCGGCCGCTCTTTTCCCGTGTCTGCAGAGGTAAGAGCGGCAGAGGTCATCCAAACCCACTGTGAGCTTCCGAGTGAATTCAGTGTGCCTTTGAAGCGTGTTCTCGTTTCCATGCACTCCCTCCACATGACACTGTTCTAAGACAAGCATAATTACACAGCTGTGGTGGGGTCCTGAGGGTGGGCATCGCTGCCTCAGCACAGGAGTGGGAAAGGAAAGTTCTAGAAGGCAGGCTGAAAGTGTTTGGATGGTTCAGGGCGCTACATGGAGATGGAAGCTGTGGGGAGACGGTGGTGAGTCTGCTGCCCATTTCCAGCTGTGAGCAGACAGGGAGAGCTCTCTCCTCTTGCTCTCAGGCTCTGGTCTGGCTAAGGGTGAATTTTGGCTCCTCGTTATTTCAGGGACAGGTGGGATAAGAGCCCTTCATCACAAGGAGTCTGTCGTAGCCTCTTCTGTTACGAGAAGAGTCTGCGGTGGCTTTATAAAGGGTAGTTTAGGGGGCAAGACCTGGCACAAAGGGCACAGAAAGGAGGGCACACTGGTTTTCTGGTAGCCTTGCCCCCGCAGAGGGGCAAGGCCCATTTACCAGTTACCACGTTAGTTCAACAAACTGGTCGACTCAGATGCTGTTGCTTGCTGGGTGAAAAGGAACCCGTGGGAGCTCCTGAGGCTGCCTCTGGCCTGCACCGTGGCCTCCCGGGCCCGTGGAGCCTGTGGTCATCTTATGCCCTGGACACCACGTCAGCTCTGGCTGGATCTCCTACAGACGCTTCAGTCCTTCCCCAACACCCCTGATCTGCGTAGGCCTTGGGGAGCCTGTTTGGAGCTCCTGCCCACTGCACCCTGGAGCCGGGCTGGAAGTTGCAGGTTCAGCAAAGCCTGCTGGCTCCTAATCGGCAAGGCCCAGGCTGCCTCCGCACACAGAGCAGGTGAAAGGTCCTCCCTGGCATTCCCCCAGCCCTTCAAGAGTGAGAGCTAAATGCCACGCTTCATCGATCAGTCCATAGGCTGGGTTTACTGAACTGACAGTGTGCACAGGGGGGTGTGGGAACTGTAGAAAAAGATGGATGAGAAGAGGAAAAAATCCACCCAAGTCAAACATTAGTGTTTACGTACAGGAGAAGGACGCCGCACCTTCCGCTGTGTTCAACTGGGCCGTCACCCCCCTCTTGCCCTTCCAGAGGTCAGCCAGCACTCCCTGGAGCCCAGGGAGAGGGCGGCCTCCTGCCGGAACCAGAAACCCCTTTCTTTATGCGGTACTGACCTCTAGAGGCTTCCAATTAAAAAGCATCCCAAAAGACCAACTTAATTTTACTGAGGGTTTCTAAACCTGTGCTGTTGCCCTATTTTCCTAGAAAATCAGAATAAATGTCTGCTTCTTTACACGTGACCTGATAGGACGTGCCCATCTTACTTTCTGGCTGCCTAATGACAGCTTGTCCGGGTTTTTTTTTTTTTTTTTAAATAAATGCCATTGTTATCTTCTCCAACAAGCAAAAAAGGTGGGCCAGAGATAAAACAGGTAAAGTATTTGCCTACTACAGAACTGAGAGAAAAACTTAAGAGTGTCAGCCATTTCAGGATGAATCTCTTGCGTTTCCAAAGTGCCCATGGCCGAGACAAAAGGAAGGACCGAATGTTTGCTCAGCCCCGTTTGGAGGAGGGGTGTGGGCAAAGCTCTGTGCCCAAAGCACACCCACAGCGGGTCCATGCTCCAGCCCCAGGGCAGTGCCCAAACACTGGGGAGTGGGCTTTGTTTCACTTTAACCCATTCACGTCCACAGTGAACCCTGTGGACAAAGAGGTGGCCCATGTGGCCTGACTTGACTTAGGAGGCGAGACCCATCCCTCAAGGAAATGTTTGCTACACCCTAAATCAAATACCCCAGAGCTTCCTAGTTAGTTGTAGTTTCTTTATGCCACGTGATTAATTGCAGAGACGGGAAATATGGGAAGTCAGGAAAACGAATTCAGTGATGTCAGCTTTGGGGCCACTATTTTGGCAGGGGGCTACTATTTCTGAAGGGTGTCCTAGGGAAGATGGGCTCAAAATCTGAGAGATTCAGGTCCGCCAGCATCCGGCCACCCAGCCCTGGTTTCATGGGACAGTACTTCCCATACAAACTTTGCTTCCCACTCTCCCTACCTCGCCAGCCAAGACAACATCCATCCCCATGCCACTAGTGCCTAGAGGAAAACTGGAAATTAGTCCATAGTCTCATTTTTACAGATGAGGAAACAAAGATGGAGGTTAGAGGGAGGTGATGTGCCCATCATTACACAACCTTGACCCCAGCCAACCGACTTCAGAGGCCCTGCAGAGGCCAAGTGTGGGTCTTTCTAACACCCAACCCTGCTTACAGAACTCAATCTGTGTCTTTGGAGGTTATACTTGTGAGTGACTGAAGAACAGCAACAAGGGATTCCCTTATATGTGACTCCCTCCTCCCTTAGTATGGAGAGACCACACTACCACCCTGCTGAGGTCAGAATCCTACTGAGCGAGGGGTGTGCTGCTTGCCTCCACAGCTCACCCTCTGGCACTATCTCTGATGACAGCCAGGGCGAAAACAAAGAACCACCAATTACGCTACCTGAAATACACACATGCAGTACGCTGTGCCCATTAAGGCAACCTCAAATCTAATTTAACAGTCTACGGAGGCCTTTTCATTTGAGGAAAGAAACTTACTCTTAATCAAATAATGGGACTTACCACCAACTTCCAGATTTATTCCTTAAATGCCATTGTTTGCCCAGTAACAGTAAGTGGGAAGGAAGTCCTAGGGACAAGGTGTCAAATGCCATCATAGAATGACCACAGATTTTTAAGTGGTGTTACAAAGGAGTCCTGACAAGGAGAGGAAAAAAACGAGGCCCTTCACATATAAACCTAAAGGGCTAGTTTGAAGAGTGGAAAATTCCTGAATTCCAGCGACAGCATCAGAAGACATACAGTCAGGTCTCAAAACACATCAATTATTAACATTTGAATCCTATCAGTGGTTCCTATAACTACCTCCTCCCTCTCTCCCCCCCCTTGCTGGGCCCCCAGAGCCACCAGCCCCAACAAAGGCAACCACAAAGCTAGCCGAATGGTTTTCTTCCCTGTTCCTCAATTTTATCCAAGGCCCAGCCACTCGTGGTGCAGGGAGTAAGAAAGAGGCGCTGGTCAGCAGTGTTTGGAAGGCTCTTTAATAGCAAGCGTATGGTAATTACATCGGTGGATGAGATCCTCTCTCTTGGGAGAAAGGAGCAGATGTGGACAGGGTTCAGGTGGGGATTCTCACCGCTGGAAGCATCTAACAAAGGGCAACAATGTTTGGCAACCCATTTCACAGTTTTGTCATTTACAAGAGATTTCTTTGAAAGAAAATATAAAGGCAAAGAAGCACACACACCTTGCATGAAATGTTTTTTTTTGTTTTTGCCTAAGACACGCCCCATCCCCCAAACTCTTCCTTGCTTTCGCTGCTCCTCACTAGGCGGCTGAACTGCTTTCACACACAAATTCGGGCTGGTTCACGGAGAGTTGCAGATTTGTTTAGAACTGATGATCTGCTTTCTCCCCTGAAAAGCCGCCCCATGGACCCAGTACTACCCCCTCTCTTCCACCGCCCAGCTTTCAGAAGGGACTTAATGTAAAAAATAAATCTAACAAAACAAAAGGAAAAAAGCAGGGAAAGGCAGTTTTCTAAATAACAGACCATCAGCTTTCCTCTGTGGTACTATACAACTTGAATTCACAGTCTTGGGTAAATCAAATGTTTAATTTTATGTGGCCTGCTTTTAACTTCAGGCTTATAATGCTTTAAATGGGCTTTCTAACACAAAATGATCACAGGTCCTCTATTTTTGCAATCTAAATTTTTAAAAATATATATCAAAGACAACATATTATTAACAATTTGCCCAATGCATGTGGGTTATAGATATTTTATAATGGATACTACGTTGCCAAGGACACCAGAAGCTACTGGCATCCTGGCAAGTTTTAGAATTATTCTCTATAAATCTAAATGACTTCAGCCTTTCATGTTATAATATTTGGTATTACAAAACCAAGGTAACTGATTGAGTCTTTATGGAAGAGGATTAGTTTTTAATTCAAACAACAAAAACAAAATCCAAAACCTGGGGGCTTCTCTGGTAAACTGAAGACTGAACAGGTGAGACATGAGACCCGCTTGCATTCTAACTGTGCTCTTTCTACCTGCCTGGCGCTCGGTGGGGTAGGTGGGCTTCGCCCTCAGGCCTGCAGGAGGGGTGCTGCTGACCCACTGTGACCTCTGCAGCTGACAGCAAGATCAAGTTCGGTTCATGTTCAGCCTGGCATGTGATTGGAGCCTCTCTCAGATATGTTAGCACTTTGGAGAGACAGGCTGGTCTGGCTGACAGCTGGCTTATCTAGGGCAAGGAGGCCCCAGATTTGCAGGACAGCGGCTGTCTGCGTGGTGGGGGGGTGGTTTTCAAAGCCACAAAGCCAGCACAGGCCTCGCCTCTCAACAGGCAGGCAGTCCCTTGGAACTAAGCGGACTCTGGGGGGCATAGCCATGAAAAGAGTTTTCCTGGACCTTACATGCTGACCGCCTCCTGGCTTTTAATTTTATTTTTCTAAAGAATCAGACCTGATTCGCCCATTTGTTTTCCCTTGCTCACCTTCTCCCACCCCAGATTTAAGTCCTGCCTACTCCGAACCTGCCTCCAGAATCATGGCATATCAGACTGGTTCACACCACTGGCTCCCAACTTGTCAATTTTCATCAGCAAGGCAGAGTCCAATGATGCCACGCTATCACAGCCCGCCCCCCTCGGTCCGCACACTTTGTGCGCCCATCAAACAGAAACAGCACTCAGAGACGTCACTGTGCTACAGAATGGCTTCTGCTGACACAAGAAAAATGACGGTAACGCTGAGAGGAGAGCAGTTTCCACTTAAGGACACTGGAATCCTAATTCTGCACCAGGACATGAGGAGAATTCCTAAGGAAGAGACTTTTTGTGTTCTAGCCACTGCCGAACAAAAAGGAATATGTGCTGTTCTGAGCCTGGGGGACTGGAGTGGACACCATGTGGCAGGCACCGTGTGGGGTCTCACCCCCGCCCCTGGCTTCATAATTCACTCTCCAATTCCCCAGAGTCCACTCGGTATGATTATCAGACAGAGAAAAGCAACCAGTAGCTGTGAGAAAAATGTCTCTGTGGTTCACCAAAACCCAGGACCTGGTTGGGTCCGGTCACGGGAGGCACGCGTCCACAGAGATCCACAGCACTCACTCCCCTGTGTGCACACCCACACCCACACCCACCCACTCACACTGTCACATACATACACTCTCTTTCTCTCCACTGAATGAGATGGCAAAGAAGGTAGAAGTCCCCCATTTCCAGCTATGCTTCATGCAATTTTCCCCTCTCAATGAAGTTCAACTTACTCCACTTCCAAAGCCGCAATCTGGCGGGGCACGGATAAAACAGAGAGAGTGCGGACAACTGAAACGAGTCTGTTCTCTGCACCTTCCGGGGCCTGACTCTCACCTAAGGAACAGTGTCACCGGCACCTCAGGGTCAGGCCATCGGAAACATGTTCTAAGGTAGCCTGGTGGCCAGGGTCCTCGGGACAGGGAGGTTTTAAATATATTTCCTGCTCACTTCCCTTGAAGTCTCAATTGTTGCCCTTCATACCCACACACATCGTAAGGCAGTAATGGAAGAACAGTGGTTAGAGCAGGATGGGCAAGCGTCCCTCATTTCAGGCTGGGTGAGTGACTTGCCCAAGGTCACGCGGTTGCAGACAGAGTCAGTGCCAGAACCCACACCCCTCTCCTAACTGACGGGTCAGTGCTCCTCCCACTGTGCCGCGTCACCTCCTGGTAGGTGTGTTTGTGTCTACGAAAGTCCGAGCTTGTCCAGCCACGGGGCTATCTCCACAACAGAGGTGACAGGCCACTCGACTTGCTGACCGACCCGGTGACGTGCTGTGTGGTGCCGCCTCAAATGCCACACGCGACCCCAACATGGGCACATGTGTCAGCTAGGAAGTTTTAGAGGAAACAATCTGATTCGCTGATGCCTTTGGGGTTCTTCCAGGAGAGTAAGTAACGTACAGCGATGTTACCCCCAACCCCCGGGCAAAACAAAGACCAGATTTCTCCCCCACCCCATGAATGGCCGAGTCTATCTCAGCTCAATTTTTAGGAACAGAACATTGACATAAGAACACCAAACTGCATTCAGTTGATACCTAAACCATTTTTTGATAAAATACATTTTACGTCCATGTCCATTCCATCTTCAAACATACAAATTTAGATGTTAAGCCTCTACAACATACAAAATTCCAGTTTACCTTTGAATGGAGCAAGCTAGTCAAGCTTCTTCATTTCTAACGCGTAAGTCATTCTTTCAGCCTATTGTGTTAAAACAAAAATGACCACACCTGTGCAACACCTACAGCAGGGACAGCTTCCCAAACACCTGTGCATAGGTCTGGAGCCAATCAGAACACAGGTGAGGGAGCAAAGCCCAGAGCACCCTCATTCCACTGGATGAAACATCCTGGTTTGTCTTGTGAATAGGATCCCTGGGACATTCATTTCACTTGAAATTAACGTTGACTATGTTTTCCCAAGAAAAGGAAAACTGTGGCTACTGATGCACAATGGTAACCACCATCTTATTTCACCCAATGACGTAAAACTGCAGTACACGGTTTGACCACCAGCAGCCGCACTCCTCTCAGCGCCAGTTAGACAAAAACCTCTGCGATAAGCAAGCTTCCATCCACAGGTCTGGGACACAGACGAGACTCCCAGAAGCCCCGTGGCTTCTGCGGCTGCTGCTTCCCCCCCTTTTTAAATGAAAACTTTGACAACCTAACAGGTACACATGTTAAAAACATCCTCACCCCAGATGCTCCGTTCAGTGAAATGTTGTAAGAGAAGCATCCGGCACCCTACATTGTTAGAACCAGAGACACAGAAGTGCCCAAGAAAATGACTATTTTAGATGAGTCCACATGAGCACAACAAAGGTACCCCCAAGAGGTGGACTGTGGTTGTTCCTATGAGCTGTCTGAGGATTCCGATCATTAAAACTTCCCCTCTGAACCACTAACCTGCGATGAAAAGATTCCCACGTTTGTATTACTTTAAAAATTCACTGCAAGTAGATTCCTTGAAGCACGTGATTACAATTTTTAGATAAATTATACAGTGGGATCCTTTTCTTGACTTTTTTTTAAGAAAAAGAATAAAAGACAGATTAAGAAAAAAGGATTCCATCATACTTTTACAAAATGTTATCCTGGTTTATTTTCCCATTAAATGTATGGCTTCAAAGTTGAAGTGGCCCTTGGATTCTGGATGTTTTCATGATTTAACAAGTTGCCATCTCATTATAGAGAGAAGGTAAATGCTGCATTTCATATGTGGGACGGCTTATAAACATTTTAAAGAAATCGGTAACTGATGGCACCCCATTTATATTTTCCACCGTTAACACTTTAAAAGTGGCTTTGGAATTAGCACGTTTGAAATTAACTGACCACGCAGGTATGTTTATACAGCCGCAAACCAGCTGCCGTGCATCCAGGTGACTCAGTGAGGGCAGTGCACTGAAAGGTTTCTTGCCTCCCTTCCTCTCTCCATCTGAAGCTACGTGATTATCCTGTTCTGCCCTTGTAGTTGCACTTGTGCAGTGTAATGACTAGTTATTATAACTCATGCTTTATAAGCAAAACCTTTCACTTACAACACTTACAAGGTACGTAAAAGTGCAGACTGCATTTCTTCTCTGCCATGCTTGCCCTCCATCAAGTCACCTATGAGGACTTAAAATACATCCTTAATACATTCAGAGTTCTCTACATTCAAGTCAGCAAATGTCAGTTCTCCCACCTAAACTCAAGAGAGTATGGTCAGCCACAAAATGGACTCTGAATTCGAAATGGCCAAGGCTACCGAGACAACTCCATAGAAACCCACTGAAACGGGAGTAAAATGCAGGTCACTTCTGAGCGCAGCTCATCCCAGATATTCTGCGGTCGTTAAAAAGGTATTTCGTGTTAAGTTGGAAGCTGGGAGTCAGATGTCCTGTTTCGGAGAGCTGACCCAGGAGCACGCGACCCCACCTCGGGCGCCGCAGGGCTCACTCCTTGTCAGAGGGGAGCCCTCTCGAGGTTACTACTGCTGACTGACCCCCATCTGGGGGTGGTCTGCCTCCGGTTCCTCCTCCTCCACATCGGCACTGTACTCTTCGAACGCGTCGTCATCTGCATCCGGGAGCCCCAGTAACTGCAGGGGAGAGGAGAGAAGCAGTGGTGAGCACCAAGGGGCCCTGTGCCTGAAGACCACCAGAGACATCAACTCCAAATTCAACAGCGCTTAACAGGAGCCAGCTACCCTGAAATCATGTTTATAGTCTTCCTAAATGGAAATGTCAGTCCTTCAGCGGATTGGCGCCCCAAAGGCTCTGTTTTACTGGGGAGCCTGGAGATTCTCTACTTTTAGGCATCAACACACGATACCACCTACCACCTACACATGAAGATATAATATCTATGCATGCGCAAGCACACCTGGATGTTAGCAGTAGAACAACGAACAGTGCTGGCTGTCTCATCAAGATGTCAGAAATCCATTCCCCATACTTTCTCCCCTAAAAACACACTGCTATTATTTTATAACACACATACAGAAATGTGGAAACCACTAAAATGTTCAACAAAGCCGTTGAATAAATTATGGTGCGCCTGGAAGATAGAATCTTATACAGCTGCTTAAAATAATATCTTAAATAACCCCAATGACATAAAAATATGCTTATAAGTGTAGACAAGTGTGATAACATTGTTTTCATTATGATACAGATTTCTTTATACACAAATACATTGAAATACAAGACTTCAGTGATATACTTCCAAATTTTAAGAGTATATTTTTTATAGACAGTGTGATTATGGATAAAGATTTTCCCTTTTAATCTTTTTGTATTTTCCAAATGCTCTCTCATTATCGCCAGAGAAATTCACAATGATACACAGTAAGCATTTTCTTAAACCACTGGCTAGCCTTCGTTTAGGAACTGAATGCCATTTGCTGGGCCGGATCAATATGGACAAAAAACTGTGGACTTGGCAGGGAGCGGTGACCTCGGGCTCAGCTGAGCCTTGTCCGTGATCACAGGCACCCCTCCCCTGGCTCCTCACTGAGATTAATGGCATACAGGTGGCCGAAGAACTGTCTCACATGGTGACCCTTTCTTTGTTGATCACTTGGAGGCAGCTTCACCAAATGGCCCTAAGATGTGAACTTGAACTGCAGTAAGACACTAAAATAAGATCAACCACTCTGTTTACTTTGCGTTGCCTCCCGAGCACCCTGCTACTTCCGCCCCTTTCCCTGCTCCTTCCCAACTGTTTAAATGAGAAAAGGATAAGCAGAGTCCCGAGCTAAATGATGCCTTGACTCTGACGTTCTCAAATGTTTCACAGGTCTGACAGGGCCTAGTGACCATGCTCAGGTCTCTAGTGACCATGCTCGGTGCCTAGTGACCATCTGCCAGGCACCGCTGGTCCTATCACATCTGTGGCTTGCCAGGGCAGGCACAGCAACCGCGGGCACGGGCTTTCTCCTCATAGCTCTGAGGACACGGCTGTCTCAAAGGGACACTGTTGGCTTGCAACGGTGAAGCAGGAGCGCAGCTCTGAGGGGCGAATAATATGTAACAACTGCGTGTGTGCTTGGGAGAAGGGAGAAGCTCCTTACTCCTACCGCTGGCTCCATTCCATGCCCTAGTGGATGGAATAAAAGATAAAGTTTGCCTCTAAAGAGAGAGAAGAGATTGTTGGTTACGATGGACGCAGGTGACATTGTCCAGGACACTGTCACATTTCAGTGTCCAGTTTTTGTTTGAAAAGTGACATAAGACAGAAAAAGTTAAAAACCATATAATTTCACTCATATGTGGACATAAAACTGAAAGCAACAAATGAACAAACAAGAAAAACAAACAAACAAAAAACTCAGAGACACAGAGCACAGTACGGTGGTTACCGGGGAGAAGTGGGGCGGGAGGAAGTATAGTGTGAAGGGGCCGCGTACCTGGTGGCGGGAGATTTGACCTTCGGTGGTGGGCACACAACGCAATGTACAGATCATATGTTACGGAAATGTACACTTGAAACCTATTTAATCTTATTAACCAATGTCACCCCAGTAAATTTAATAAAAATAAAATAAAATAATAAAAATTAACTCTGATCCAAAAAAAAAAATAAAAAGCTGCTCAATATCACACAGAAGGTGAAAAGTGTCAAAGGACTATTGTTTGAATAGCGAATATAAATATCGTTGCCACCCCCCACCAACTCCAGAATCACCTAAATGCTAAGAGGCATTCATTCAACAATGCATGTAGCCCCTCACTGCACTAACGGGGCACCTCGTTAAAGAGGAATGGCCCATGTGTTCCCTCCCCCTTAACAAGTCTGACTGGCAGTGGCTGCCCTGAGCCCTGGGCTCAGCCGGTTCTGAGGCTCAGTGGGAAAGATCACGGTCAATTAGCATTGGCTGTTGAAGGTCAAGAGGGCACAGATGAGGCACTCAGCTTGGCAAGCTTGTCCTAAAGAGACTTGCCATTATTCTTTTTCATAATACACTTAACAATTCTCATGGACCCAAAGCATAGGTGTCCCTCAGTACCCTCCGTCTCCTCAGCTCAGGGTGGGTGGCTTGCAGAAGAGGTTCCAGCCAAGGACCAGCACTCCCTTCCCCTCCCTCCTCTTCCTAGCTCCCTGCCTTACCTTTGGCCTGAATCCAAAGCCCGTATTTTAGGTCTAGAGCATCAGCCCCATGGGCGGCCCTTCCCTCAGGTGGGAAACATTCAAATGCTACTTTGAGAGCTGCTCGGCCCCTGCCCTTGGAGGAGGGAGAAGGAAGAGGCCCCAGTGACTTCCTGGACTTGGATGGCACCTTACAGCAGGGTCAGCAGATCTGTTGAGAGGCTGGTGGAAAGGCACTGGACCTGCTGTGTGGAAGCCAGGGCTCTCGCTGGGGACCCTCTGCAGAGCCACTGCCTTAGCTGAGCCCTTCTCTGTCAGCTGGGGACCGTGACACCTGCTCTACCTCCAGAGAAACTGGGGAGAGCGAATGAAACAGTGAATGGCCACAGTCTGTGAGCTGCAGAGCCCCCTGTGAATGATGCAGCTGTGTTGCATGACCGTGCCTCTCACTCGAAAGCATGGCCAGGCCAGTCGTTGGCAGGGAGTCGCTGCTGCAGGGCCGGACTGCCTCCCTGGTCATTAGCACTGCAGAAGCGTGAAGCGAAGAAACCCAGTTCTATTAGATTAGCCTCTTCGTCTGATTGTCAGCCTTACATCCAGCATTCCACGGAACCCATCAGTTTTGTCCTATTTCAGGTTTAATAATAATAGGTAACACTGGTTAACTTATTATCTCTTAGGCACCGAATGGCTTTTTTATTTAAGCAGATTTACATATATTAATTCCCTTTGTTCTCATAATAATGCTATGGAGTAGATACTATTATTACCCCCATTTTATGCCTAAGACCTGGAGAGGTGACTAACCTGCCCAGAATTACCAAGGTAAGCGTCAAGGCCAGGATTCAAACCCAGGTCACCGAGTTGCAGACTTCACACATCTAACCACTGGGCTACACAGGATATTCCCTTCTAGCTGTCACTGCTGCTCCTATAGCTGGGGGACGTCAGTGGTCTCCACTGGGTAACACACCTCTCTAAGAATGCCATACACACTGTTAATGTCCACACTTATGAGTATGCACAGTTTAGAAGCATTACAGAGAACAGCATAAGCACCAGAACTAGAATCTGCCTGGGGTTCCAAATGATATCACACAGACATGTAATTGTCCAGCATTCCCACCCCACCTCCATTCCTGTCTATGGCGGGTAAGTCTAAATTTAACTTCAGGACCCAAATTTTGAACAGTCAAGAGACACATCTGAGACAGGAGTGCAAACAGCCTGGTGAGAATTCTGGACTCCTCGCTTTTACTGCGCCCAGACCTTCTTATAAGGAAAAGGAGACAAGGCCAAGAAATCCTGTCTGGCGCATCTAAATTACTGCTGATGGTTATAATCATCAGTTCCTAATTCAGTAAATTTTTTCCGATTGGCTGGAAAAATCTTTATGCTCACTCTGGACCAGGATTGGCATTTCCAGGCATTTATTCTAATGGCCCACGATGCTGGTGGTGCCCGGAAACCCAGAAAAGGCTCTGGGTTAGTCTGCCTTTGCCACCAGGGGAAAAAGAGGTTGGTGGCAAGACAACAAAGGGGTAAGAGGGGTAGGTACTCTCTTACTTTGGGGAGCCACAGCACTTTCTAAAAAAAGGACAAGGGTTTGAATGTTTATAATGCAAGCAAACAACATAAGCCATAATCGGACTGAAATTGTCAGCTCAACGTCTTTTATTAAACACACACGCACGCATCACCCTTTCTTCTCAGACTTTCTGACCTATGAGCAGCACCCCACAGGTGCATTCTTCCTCTTCTTCCAGGCTCCTGAGTAGACTAAGAGGGGAAGCGACAACCAGACTTTCTCTGGGACACCAAGGGTTCTGCTGTGGGTTTAATCCCTGGCTCTCCAGCTGACCGCGGCAAACTGAAAACATCTATCTTGCTCACGTGAGTAAGGTAGAATTCGGGGAATTTTTTTGGTAGACATGTCTCTGCTCCTCGAGAGGAAACACGTAGAGTCACCCGGCATCCCTGGGGACCAGGGTCAATGACAGGGAGAAAACACAGGGAACCTCGGGCTCTGACTCCAGGTAGCACCAGCAAAGTAGTAAGAGCCACCACAAAACAGCCCACAAAACTGTCAAGGCGACTGGCACCTTGGGACCCTCAAGTCCGTAGCACTAGTAAGAGAAGGAAGAGCTAATAATCTGGGAAAACAAAAGAAAGCTTTGAGATAACGTGAACGGGTAAAGACAAAGTTTGGTTTTGCAGCTAATGGAAACGGTGAGCCCTCTCTTCCCTTATGAACTGGTTTGAACCAGAGGAAAGCCTGTTGGTCGTCACTAAAGAAAAGATACAAAAACACGGAGAAGACAAGCAAGTGGCATAATCACCAATATTTAGAACCATAACCACAGTTTTATCATCTAGCCCAACTGTGTGACGACTAGCAACCATAATGGAGGGCCATTTAAACAAGAAAAGCGTAGGGCTCTGGAGATTGCCAGTTCACGTTTATCAAGGCTACTGACGGGGGTCTCCGAAGATACTCACGACACAGACAGACCCGCCTGCTCACAGACGGCGCTGACAGTGCGCTCGGCGCTGCCATTAGCACACATGTACCCTTTGGGTACGACGTTCCAGCAGAAAGGGAACAAGAGCAGGTACAAGCAGCAGTTCCTGCAGTGCAGTGAATGTGGTCACCCAGGCTCACGGACCCGCCCAGTAAGCCTGTACAAACAGCAGCCGAGTGGGGTGGCTCGGCTATGACAGCCCTTTACGTTCTTAGTCTAATATTGAAGTTCCCTATGAATCCACAAGACAGAGAAACAAATATGATGCTTATTTTAAAGATGGGGGCACTAAGGTTGAGTGCCCAGAGTTCTAGAGGCCACACGGCCTCTAGCCAGACCTGCTAGGGCAGGGCTGAGTCATCTTCCCCCAGTGGGGACATCTGTAGGGACTCTGAGCTAAGGGGCCAACCAAGGTGGGCCTTTCTGGCCTTTCTTCTTGGCCAGCCTCCTGTCTCTCTGAGCGCGTGCGAACCCTGCCATGTCTTCGAGTCCCACCTCCCCATGAAGCCACTGTCCTGCACAGTGTTCCTTGGACAGCCGCTCACACTTGCCACCCCGACCCTTCTGACAGTGTGGACAGCGCGGCTTCTTAAAAAACACAACCCAGTTTCTGATCATACATGTTTCTGTGACATCACAGAACACTGAGAAAATACAGAAAAAGAGAAAACAGGTATTGCCCGTCACCCTGTCACCAGAGGCTCTGGCTCACACACCCCTCTAAGCACGGAGTGTCCACCACAGTGAGCTGTTTGGACCGGCTCCTGAAGGATGGCTATTATTTTGCCCAAACCGATGCTGAGAAGCTTCCGACTGCAGCTCTCCAATAACACCGCTCTATCTCCTTTACGTTAGTCAGATGCCTCTGGTAGGCGTGGGCTGAAAGCTCTCAGCAAATTGCTTTTCCTCGTCTCCAAGAGCCTAAGAGTCCTATGAAGCACTTCCCTAAGTCCTGCTCCCTTCTCAACGGTATGTTACCTGGTGGCCCCAGCCACGCCGGCATCTTCTGTGTTTATTATGTGTCATGGCTAAGTCCCCCACAAGAATCACATCATTTAATCATCACAGCAACCCTAAGATAACTATTGCCATGGTTTCCTAACTTTACAATGGACGAAACTGAGAAACAGAGAAGTTACATAACTTGGCTAAGGTCGCACAGCCATCAAGTAAGTGGCAGAGCTGGGATTTGAATGGCTTCCCCCAGAGCTTGGGTTCCTCATCAATAAACTGTCCTGATTCTACATAACCATGGGAGGAGACCATAAGCAACACCCCCAGGTTCACAGTCACTAACATCCTCTCAGGCGCAGCTCCCCAAAGAGCCGGCAGAGTGCGGTACGCGGAGCAGGCAATGGAACTCTCGGCGTGTTCTGCACAGTAAGTACCCGGCGAGGTCTGGACCGAAATAAACACTCTGTCCTGTGACGTGGAGTCTCGGTACACTTCTCTGGCTGTCTCTCCTACCGCAGAGTCGGCTCCCGAGGGCAGGAACGCGGCACTGTGCCCTGCCCCTCACTCACCAAAGCTATACTGTGGCCAGTGCAGGTGATCAATACATCGGGTTGAAAACGGACGAAGAAGCAGAAAACGAGTAAAATGGCAAAAAATAACATTTTTCTTTCCTTTCCAGTCCAACTGTGCATTTCTTACGGGGAGGGAGTGGCTTTGACTATGATATTGAGCATTCCGGTGTGTGTGGGGAAGCCGAACAAGAGAGAGGGGAGAAAGCACCTCTGCGAAGGGCTGCCAACCTGCTCGGCCTCGCAGGCGGGGCGGCTGAGGAGGGCCAGAAGATGACCCGGCTCTTGGCCGGCCAGGCGGGAGCCGGGCGTCCAGCAAACTTAATTGACTCTGTTTGACTGATGGCCCGAAAGGCAGCAGAGGCTGGCCTTGGGCTGGCTAAGGGGAAACAAGGGTTCAAAGCCACAGAGGAGGCTGTTCTACGGTGAAAGCGAAAATATTCCTCGGTGGTTTCCTCCACTGTAAACAAAAAGCAGCCGCCCGAATGGATCAGGTTCCCAGGAAGTTCCAGGGAAGGGACCAGACGAGGAGCAGAAGCTTACCTGCTTGATCACCCAGTAGCCCTGGGGTATGTGTTACTTCAGCAAACACTTTCAGCTGCAACACAAGACCGCCCCCCATGCCTTAATTCTAAACGCATTGCTCCCTTATATAAGCAAACAGGCGAAGGGTGGCAGTGGAAAGATGTGTACTCTTCAGTGGAGACGGAGAGGGTGAATGAGCCCCACCGTGGGTCTCCAGCCACCCTTCACCTGGCTAGCAACACTCCCTTCCATCCCTCCTGAGGCACATCCTGGCAGGCGGAAACCCTGAGAAGGCGCCTCCCACGCGCCTCTCTCTGCAGGGCAAAACGACCAAGCCAGAGGGTGCCCAGCAAGCAGCCCCTGCCGGGCACCAGCGGTGGGGCGCCAGGCTATGTCAAGATCTCCTCACCTTGGGAACATCATCCCTGCCCATGACCTAGGGCTCTGCTCTAGACATGAACCCGGGAAGCCCCACACTAATCAAATCTGTGTGTGTCTCCGGGACACACGGCATCTAGAAGTGAAAGAAAATACTCAGCCAATCAAATTGTTTTCAGCGATGCATCTGATTTGGGGGAACTGCATTTTCCCCCTATTTACATGTGAAAACAACCCCACGTGTCCACTTCCCAGGTGTTCTCAGACTGGAAGTGCCCCCAAGCCCTGGTAGAAGGAAATAAAACTCCTCTCTGAAGGAAAGCGCCCTCACCTTAGGCCTCAATTTACTCCTATGTATAAACTTACAAATACAATAACCAACCCACAAAGAGATAACCCAGCACACTGAGAAACCCAATAGCAGGAGTGCAGACCAGTAGGAACAGCTGGTGACAAACCGACTTACAAACCTTGAAATACAGGAATGGCAGACAGTCTGTTGTCCAACCACGCTTACTATGTTCAGAGAAATAAAAGACATGCTTGAAAATTTCAGCTGAGAAGTAGATACTGTTTTAAAAGATTTTTGAAAAACAAATCAATAGAAATTCTACAGCAACTGTCCTTGTACCTGCAGAGTACAGTAATCACGGAATCAAACTTGTCACGACACTGATTTTACCTTCCAAACATGATAAAGGGAAACAAGGATTTTTTTAAAATAGGGGGAGTATTCATTTTACATGTTTTTCAGCCAGCATGAAGACAAACGGTCAGCTAGCTGCAAACACTCAGATTCCTCAATCCCAAGGGGGTGGCAGGAAGCAAGCTCTGTATAATGAGGTTTAAAAAAATGAGAGAAGAGAACCAGCATTCAATGTCACCCCTGTCTTTACCCACGCACGTGGAGGTCCCTCCTGTATAGAGTCTGAAGAACACTTCCAAGCACTTGGGGTTCAAGTCTCCTGGGTGAGGACAGGATTACTCAGTTGTCTCAAGAAGGCTCTGTTTGCTTCCCACCCTATCAGAGATTCTTATCTCAAGTGATGCTAGAAATAACCATCATCCCTGCACCAAACAGCTGTGTCACATCCTGTTCCTCACTCCCTCCCACCCTCCCTCAGCTACCCTCCACGAGCTATGTTTGTGCCACCAAGCAGACAAGAGGAAAACAATTCGTCATCCCAGGTTCTGCCTTCTTTCCCCACAATCCCTGTCATTCAAAGCGCAGTCGGGGTAGAAACCAAGAGGGCTCTTGAAGCCAGGCGGGCACCTACAGGTCTGAAGGACTTGAAGACTCTTTCCAAGACTTCCTGGAGCGTCTTCTTGCCGCAGGAAGAGATGTAGTCCTGTGCCAGCTGCAAGAAAGGCAGGCAGTCCTCGCTCTCGCTCCACACGTGCTGGGCGCCCACCGGCCGGCAGGGGAGAGGGGGAAACAAAGACACAGTCATTACACTCAGTGTGAAAGACAGAAAGTCAACACAGTTTTTTTTCATGACATGAATTTGAAAAAGGCCTCCATTCCACAGTCAGACTCGGATGTTTTTTCTTGATTTGTTTGCACTGAAGGGGATCAGAAAACGTACACCTGGTACAAAACCCTGTGCTTTCGGTCCGCAATTCACCCGCTCAATGTGCCACCAGATCTGCTTCTACGATGTGAAAAAGGGCAGTAGGGTCGATATTCTCTCTCCCATGATTTCCACTGCCCTGCTTCCAGGGAAGGCTAAGCGTGGCTTTCGAACTGAACGAGGAGAAACCAAGAGCCTGCAGGATCCTTGCCTTCTCCTCTGGCATAGTTTGTCACCACTTCCTTGGAACAAGACCTTTTACCCAGACTGGCCTGTGAAGGGGGCTTCGGGGGTGAATTTACTTCAGAATGAAATGAGTTTAGGAGAACACACAGAAATCATCACTAACTCCCTGGAGGGGAAAAGATTTCTTGAAAGTTCACCTTCTCTTAAAATGCTTTTAAGAGGGATCACACCCAAGCATCTCTTCACAACCATTAACAAGCACCAAGAAGAGACTGGCGCTTTTATTTTTTTCTTCGGGCTAGACAAGTTTTTCCTTTTTCTTTTTCCACGTGAGGATATCCATTTTGGCACATCTGTGAAACTAGACAAGTCTCTCCCACACATGTTCCAGGATTTGGAACAAGCCCAAGAAACAGGCTTGAGATATCTCCACGCAAAAGGGACAGGCGCTGGGCTACCAGGATAATAACATCAGGGTATCCCTGAGGTATCAAAACTCACTGATTGGAGGGAACCGATTAATGACAGCTCAACACTAGTTTATAAACCATGGAGAGGTGTGGGAGAGAGGACGACAGTGCAGATGAGAGAAAGCAGCATGGACTGGGCAGCAGGGGATGAGACTTCTTTGGAGGAGTGGTTCATGTCAAGCACATACTTACTCCCCCTGATTATTACAAGTGATTAGGGCATTGCCCCAGGAAATCCCATGTCTATCACTCAATAAGCACCTTTCACTGTCTCCCTTCTTGTGGCAGTGTTTCCAAGAACTAAGTCTATAGACTTAAGATACTGCTCAGATTTAAGAGAGACTAACGCGGTGCTGTCGGGCACATCACCTTTACAGCCAATTATCTGTGTTTGGTAGATGCAAAGGTCCCACCTCCTAATAAACATAACTTCTAGATTCTCTCGCTTTGGAGAAGAGCCCAAACACAATTCCCTATTAATTAGGGACCCTTACAGCTGCCGAGCCATGGAAAGGCCATTTATGTCACAGTATCTTCATGGCACAAAAGTAGAATCATACAAAGTGCTTTTGTGTGCAGTACTGAACTTGATTCTTCATCAGCAGGGATTCAGCCAGAACAATCAAGTCCCACTTTACTGTTAGTTCGGCTCAGCACCCACGTTCATGCTCCGATTTTAAAAAGTGTATTTCACATTCTTACCCAAGAGGGGATTATCTTCTAGTGCCATGCAATGGGAACTCTTTAAGCCTGTCTTCCCTACACTGGAAAATTAGAGTAAAAGTAAGTTTAATCAGCACCCGGCACAGGGCCCGGCTGGCACGCAGTGGCTGTTCAATGCATGGCACACCCAAGTGCCTCTCAGTCTTTTGAGTCTGCAGGAGAATGGGGGTGGGTGGGCTGGGCCTTTCCAACAGCCACATGGCCAAGGTCACGCGCCGACCAAATCAGACATTCAGTGCGACTTCACGGAGGACACTACCCAAGGCCACCTGTGTTATATAGTTCATTCAGAAGTAGGTGTATCCACGGAAACTTTGTGTACTTGTTTTTTTTTTTAAGTGCACTTGGGCTTTAAATTACAAAGTAAACTAAGGAAGTAGATCACTCAACACTGTAAGAATGACAGTGTCCCCACCTCTGCTTGGAAACTGGACAGTTTCTTTGGGGCCGTGTTACTAGGGCATCTCTAACCGCATAAGCAGAAGCTTCACCCACAGGTTTTGTGGCTTCACTTGGACAGGTGTTGATTTATGAAAACATCCTGGAGAAGAAGGATGTAACACCCGAAAAAGGGTTTTCTGTCCAGCCTGCTTACACTGCCCTCATTTGGCTGCCTCACCCTAGATTCCCTGTGGTGTCGGTTTTGTGGATTTAAAAAACAGTTGTTACTGAAGCCTTTCCCTTGTAAACAGGCCTGGCCACTTGCTGGAATGGGACACAGATTTGCCTCCAGAGACCCGTGCAGAGACAGAAGGCAATCGGTGCCCGGGAACAGTGTCCACAGATAAAACAGAGCTCTTGGGAACTAACAGGCGAGATGCCAGAGGCAGGAGGGTTACCTCTTAAAAACAGTGGAGGGACCCATTCCAGCCCCGGGGGAGGGCAGGCAGGGTGGCAGGAGGATGCCCCTGAAAACAGGATCTCAGGTCCAGTCTTGTACAGAGACAAATGGGTGACCAGAGACGCAGAGCCCGGCCACTGTGACTTCAACGTGGAAGGTATTTGAAGCACGTGTAACCAAACTCCCACTGTGGCCATGAAAACACTCCAACAGGGGCCAGATAACTCGTGGCTCTGAACAATGTACAGAAGTTCCCTGGCAAATACAAATATAGGTACGGAATGTCTTGGCCGCCCAACAGGGCTGTTAGCACTAAGGCAGATCCCAGACCTCACGTGCTGTAACAGGAGAAATGCCAAAGCGAAGGCTTTGGGAAGGGGAGGAAAGCAGTGGGTCTCCAGCTCTAGTCCGCAGCAGTCACCTGGGACTGTGGCAATCAAAACACATCTGCTGGGCCCCACCTGGGACTGTGCAGTGGGGGCAGGGCTGCAAATCTGCATTCCCAGCAGGTTCCCAGGGAATGCTGGGGGGGGGGGCGGGTGGAGATCTGGGACCACACACACCTTGAGAACCAGAAGCAGAGCAGACCTGTAACTAACTCCAGACGTGGGGGCAGGGTGGGGAGGAGCACTTCATTTAAAAATCTGCCTGTCATGACTAACACTAAGTCCGAAACTCAGGACAGCATGGGTTGCAGTGAAGAGCGCTCCCTCCATAGCTCCCCTCAGCAGCCTGCTCTTTCTGATAGGTTCCTCCCATTAGGAGTTGAAAGTCCCCAATGCGAACCTGGATTTTAGAACAAACAGACCAGCGAGGCCACCTAGGCTCTTCCTTCTGTTATTAAGTTGGCCGGGAGTTTGTTATCAAGGCTTAAGACAAGGCACCATGTCATCTGCAAACAGGAACGTCAGCACCTTTCTGTTTTCTACAGTGTAGGTGGCAATACCCAGCTTACCCAAAACTGGCATTAGATCATCAAGGTCATTCAATCCCACAGCTTTTTCAGCACAGAGGGCCGTTGCCATGGGACCTCATGCTCACTGGAGTCCTCGCCTGGAGAATCTTTGGCCGTCATAAGTACCAGAGGCCCATTTTGAGAGGGTGAGGCTTAATCCCAAATGGACTGCTGCCCAGAGAAGCCATGGCATAAGATGAAAGCTACAGGCCACCCAACATATTTCTGCACAGGGTGGGAAGAGCATGGCTGGCTGGACCTATGACCTGTTCTTATGTCAGCCACTCATCTTTTTTACCAAGGAAGTCACAGAGGCTCAGAGAGGTTAAGCAACTTGTCCGTGGTCACACCGGGAGCAAGAGGCAAAGCCAGGACATCACCAGGTCCATGCCTCCAACCGGAACCTCAGCTCCTTCATGTGTAAGACACCAAACATAATCACGCTCACAGGGTGGTTAAAAAGATTATAGGTGATACCTGTAGACTGATTCTCATTAGCAGGGGTCCATTGATTTGAACTCACATTGCATAACTTTAGCTCCCTCAGGAAGAACCATTCCATGTATATACAAAGGACATCTCTTTTTTTCCAGAAAGTCTCCCCGTATAAATAAGCAGTCTTGGAGGAAAGCCTTCTGGTCTACCACTATTGCTCACTGAGTGCTCATAATAATAATAATAATGTAATGTAGATATGATGATCCCTATCTGACAGATGAGGAAACTAAGGGTACAGTTTAAATTAGAGGAGAGTGCTTTGTCTCCACTCTACCACCATGTAAACACCACACAATCTCATTTAAACCAGTTATAGCTTCTTCTCCAAAATCAAAAGGTTGTTACTTGGTCACATAATTAAGAACACAGACATGCCTACACTGAAAACAGGGAGGGAATATAGACATAGCCATAAGCACTACAAAGCATATAAAGTTAAATCAGTTTTTCCATAAATACTTTGTTCTTTAATACAATGACAACTGCAATCTTTCTCTTTGTATTGAGGAATGATTACACGAAACTTTAGGTCCAAACACCTAAAGGTGTTTTGATGGGTTGGCAGAAAAAGGAGGGCAACAGGGAGGTCTTCCCTTGGGGGGGCAGGCAGTGCTTTAGGTTCAGAGAGCCCCTTCCTCCTGGGCTAAGGCAGGAGAGAACGGTGGGGGGGGGGCGCCATGCCCAGGAGCACAGGCACACCTACACATGTGCCCCTCGGTCCCCCTGGTACATGAGAGGTGGCTCACACCCCACTCTGCAAATCTGGCAGAGCCCTCAGGAGCTTCCTAGCTGGCAGAAGAGGGGAGTGAGCCACCTGTCTGTGACCCCTTGCACTCCCTGCAGGCAGGGAGCTGGCGGCTTCATTTTATCCTGGGCCTTGACCTCATGGTCCACCATCCACAGGGGGCCACCATCCACAGGGAGCAGCCAGAATCAGGGCAGCAGCATGGAGAGGGACAAGATGGCCTGGGAAGTGAGAAGGGGAGAGCGCGCACAAGGGACTGAGGAGCTGCCAGGGTGGAGGGAAAATCAAAGGCAGTCCTTGTTCCTGGGCCATTGGAGCTGCTGGCCTGACCCTGCCTGGCGGACTTGCACTGTGCATGGTGGAAAGACCAGCCTCGGGGCCTACGCTCAAGTCCTAAGTCCTGGCTCAGCCACTTCCTGGTGGTGTGGTCCTAGACAGGTCCCTTCAAGTCTGTGAGCCTCAGTTTCCTCGCCTACAAAATGGGGGGAAGAATACCCACTGCACAGAATTTCTGTGAGGCTCAAGAAGCCTCCCTTGAACCCACAGTCTGAACTGGGTTGGGTCCCCAAGTGTCACTCCTGTGCTGTGTTTTCAGTGTCAGGCTGTGGTTTGAGCTGCTTTACCACTTAAACTCTGTGGGGAAGTTAGTGAACCTCACTGTGTTTCTGCTTCCTCGTCTGTCAAATGGAGATGATTATAGAGAACCTTGAGAGATTACTAAGATTAACAGAATTCTTGTCCGCCAGTGCTTGGAACACTGTCTGATATGCAGCAAACCACACTTTAAGTGGTAGTTGTTACCACTGTTGACACTGTCTTTCCTGAAATCTAACCTCTTGTCTTCAACACTAGACTGTCATTCATTCATGTATTCATACAAACACCGACTGAGCACCTACCACGTGGCTGACCCCGCCGTTCCAAGGGTTGGGATACCGTGATGACTGACACAAGGTCGCTGTTCTCATAAAACTTCTAAGTCTGATGGGGGAGGCAGGAAATAAACGGGAGGACCAACAAAGACCACTAAGTACTAATGAGTGCCATGGTTAAGATGGAAAGAGGGTGAGGTGCGGGAGTACGTGGTCAGAAGGCTTCTCCCAGGGCCACCTGGTGTAAAGGAGCTCCCCAGGTGAAGATGTGGGCGAAGAATGTTCTAGGCAGAGGGAACAGCCAAGTGCAAAGGCCCTGCCTGAGCTTGGTGTGCCTGAAGACCAGACAGGCCAGTGTGGCAGAAACACAGCAAGCGAGGGGGTGGGGGCAGTGGAGGGCTGGTCGAGGACGGGGTCAGAAAGGCTGCAAAAAACAGGTCCCACGTGGGCCTGAAGCCAGGGCGAGGGCTTCGGTTCTGAGGTAAAAATAATGGGAAGTCAGCGTAGACGTGGTGGGGACATGACCTGGGTTACATTTGAAACAGACCGAGAGACTCTGCCAGACTCACTCACATCACCATGCCCCGTTTCGGCTCTTTTCCAAACTAGCAAGCCCGTCAGGCCTAGTGTTATCACCCCCGGTCTCACAGATGCGGAAACCATGGGATAGAGATTAAAGAACTTCCACCAAGACATACAGCTAGATGTGGTGGGTTGGGTGCAAACCCAAGTAGCCTGACTCCAGAGCCTGTGCGCTCCAAACCACTAAGCAACACCACCTTAGCTGGCTAGACCGGCTGCAGGAGGATGAGGGCAGAGACCCTGTTTTTATTCTAGGCAGCCCTGGCTTGGTGCAAAAACCAGCCCTTGATAAATGCTTGTTGAATAAATAATGTGAAAACACTTCGAGAAATGTTATGTAAATATTCTTAAGAAATCCTTCAGATTGTAGCAATTCCAATGATCTCAAATTCCTTTCAATGCTTAACAGATTTTCCTGGGAGAGGGGAAAGAACAGAGTTAGGACATTGACTTTCTGCCCGAGCTCCTTTAACTAGAGGCTAACAGCAGCTTGCAAACCTGGCCAGGGGCAGGCAGACTGGAGCAGCCGCTGGGGCTAAGAAAACTCCAGCGGTTGGCATATTGTCCATTAAGGTCTCTAGAAACTTTGAGAAAGTGCCAGTCTACCCAAAGAATTACTTTTCTCATTTTCTTTCTTCCTTATCCTATTTCATTGAATTGTCAGCGACTGAATATATTCAAGCATTTTTATTCATACAGGTGGGGCATTTGCAACATAGGTGGCTTTAAAAAGGCCTAATAGACATTCTAAATGGCTAGATATACATATTCCAGCAAGACAATGGCCTTGCATTTTCTCCCCCCACATAATCTCCTTGGAGTAATTCTGGTGTCTCCTTCAGTTCCAGCAGGAAGGCTGTGTGGATCTCTCCCCATCAGAGCCTCAACCTTGGGAGATTTGTGCCCTAGGTCACACAGTCAAGGAGGGGAAAGGCCACTGGCAGACTGAGGAAGCCCAGGGCTGGGCGGGACACCTGACCAAACCCTACCGTGCAGATTAGTTGGGTCCTGGTGCCCTTTCCATTCTACCCATGGGGCTTTCTCACACGTTTGCAATGGCAAGAGTCCCCTTTTAATGACCTCCCACTCCTCTCTGTAACAATCACACTTACTTATTCTAACTACAGTTCAGTGTTCTTACACACATTTATAGCTTGATCGCTCTTCACAAGCACCTGTGATGGAGGCGTTCCAATTTACAGGTGAGAACATTGAGGCTTTTTAAAGAGACCAGCTCTTAAACCCAGGGAACCACAGATCCAACCTCTGATCCAGAATTTGTGGGGCTGTTGCTGTGAGTGGAGACTGTCAGGTGGTTTATCCATCCAATGGCCGGGGCGCCGGTATCGCACCCATTTTTTTTTGGATGTGTAAAGTGAGCTGGGTGATGGCAACTGAGCAGTCACAGGGCCAGCACTCAAATCTGGCTCTCGCCCAAGGACGTCCCTCTTTCAGACTGTCTCAGGGCTAGGGTCCGGGTGGGTTCTTCCTCCCGACGGGGTAGGGTGGAGGTGCTGGGAGGAGGGTGCTTGCCGGGACTATCTCTCTGGGACCAAGAAGGGCGATTCCGCTGTCTCTCTAACTCCTTGGAGAGCCTCCCACTGGTGGCGGGGGTGCGCCGTGGGCGCGGATCTCGGCCCAGCCCTTTCTCACCCCATCCGAGGAGCCAGGGCCAGGCAGGCTCGCGGCGCCACCCTACCTCCGTCCGCAGGGGTAGTAACAGCGCCAGCTCCAGGCTCAAGGCGGTGACCACACTGTAACCCGAGCCCAAAGCCGCCTCCATCTTACATTTGGGGGACCATTATTTTTCCCCGGCCTTACAAACACTTCATAGAGAGCCATTCTGGCCCAGTCTTCCTACCTCCCACCCCAACTCCCCGCCCTCCGCATCCCCTTCCTAAACTGCCAGCCCAAGATCCCAAGTGGGCGCAGGGTGCAAAGTTAAAGATTTGGACACAGCAGTTTCAGGTCCGGGTTCCTCCGAGCCCGGGGCGGGAACAGGGATGATTAATTCCCTCTCATCTGGAAAAACCTAAGGGCTTTTTGGGGCAGCGGACGGCGCCTCGGTCGGTTAGAACCCTCTCAGAAGCTCATAGAGGAGCAATGGAAGCACAGGGGATAGGCGTGACCAAGTGTGTGTGTGTGTGTGTGTGTGTGTGTGTGTGTGCACGCGCACGCGCGTTTTTAAGATCCTGGGTGTAATTCCGCAAAGAAGGTCCAGCGATGGGGCATCGCTAGTGTGGACAGAGGCTTTGTGTCCAAACACGCAGCTTAGGGAATAACCTGGGGAGGTCTGGGTGGTTCCCCAGGCGGGAACAACTGGCGGACTTACGTCTGCGCGTCGGGAGGGAAACGGGATTCCACATCCAGACGGGACGCCTGGATGTAGGAAGCTTCGGACTCTGGATCCTGCGAGAGGGTCCGTGAGCCCCCCAGCCAGGCTGGTGCGACGCGGGATACCCTGGGTATGCTCCAAGCCAAGCATAGCGCACTAGCCTCGGGGTCGCGTCCCCGAAATAGCCCGTCCCAGCCCTGCTCCCTGGATCCTAAGGACGCCCCTGCCGGCCGCCCACCAGCCCCGCCCGGAGCTCTGACACCGCCGCGCGGGGCCCGGGGGCTTCCCCTGCGGAGAGCAGAGCAGCCGGGTGACCAGTTACGCCCACCCCCCTACCGCCACCTCGTGCCCACAAGCCTCCGGAGCAGGCTGGAGCTCGGGCGCAGGGTAGCGGCCGCGCGGACACACTCCCTCGCGCTGCTGCGGTCCCTCCCACAGCACTCACAAAATTGTCCCCGCAGCCGTTGTCGGGACACAGCACGTAGAAGGAGACGCCAGGGTCGGCGTAGAAATCCATCCTGCGCTCGGTCTCCTCCGTGGCAATGAGCTCGAAGGGTGTGTTGGAGCACCATTTCTCCGCAACGTCAGCTAGCTGCTGGAAATCCATCCTGGCCCACCGCGCCCGCCGCGCCCTCCGCTCCCTCAGCCTCCTCTCCGCCGCCCCCTCCCGTTCCCTCCGCCCCCCGCCCTCCTCTACTCCGGCGCCCTCCTCCCGGGCGGGTAGCGCGCCGCTCCGCGGGCTCTCGGGCAGGCGGCGGGGCCAGGCAGCGCGAGATCCTTCCAGTCCCGGGGCTCCTCCCGGCGGGCTCTGTTTACATGCTGTAACCGGGTGGGCGGTGGCCTGGGACAGCGCTGCGCCGCGCCCAGCTCCTCCTCGGCCCGCCTCCCCGCCCGCCCCCTTTCGGGCAGCCCGGGAACTTGGCCAGGGCTGCGGCCGGGCCGGGCGGGGCGGGAGGAGCCGGGCGCTTCGCGGGCTCCCCAACCCCTCCCCCTCTTTTTACAATAAAGGCACTGGGAGCATCCCGGGGCCCTCGCGCTACCGGGGCCACCCCGGGCTGTGGCGTCATGGGCCCCAGCCAATCACTGAAGTCTGAGACCTTCACCCAGGCTGGCGAGCCGGGTGATGTCACAGCGTGGACCCAACATCCGCGACTTTCCCGGTTGCAGTGAGGCAGAGAAAGCTGGCAGTCTCTGTTAGCGTTTATCTGGAGGTAGGAGGCCAAGAAAGCGTTTCTCCCGAATGCGATTGACATGCAGGGGACACCCACGGAATTGCAGACCACTCGTTCCTTGTCTGAGGCTAGCAGTGGAGGCGCTGAGCAAATCTAAGGGGAAATGGAGCTTTCCTTTTGCAGGATCGAAGCTCTGCCCTCCAGTGGACGCAAAGAACCGTTTCCCCTAAATGTATTTACTAGACACGGATACGAATGTCCATTAGACAAGGAAGATGAAACCCTTGTGTTGTTTTTTTTCCATTAATATAAAGCTGAGTATTTCTTAGAAAGAAGCCTCATAAGACTTTCGCGAATATTATTCACCTTCACTTCATAATGGATCACCTAAAATGATGAGCTGCTAGTATAGAAAAGGAGAAAGTAAATTTTAAAGCAAACATGGCCCAACGATTGCACCTGTCGAATGCTCACTGGCCACGAGGACACCGCCAGCGTGGCCGGATTCCAGAAATGCGGGGACTGACTGCCAGCGGTCAGTCATTCATTCTACAAACATTCAACCGGCTTTTATCTTTAAAGTTTGTACTCTGAAACAAGCACCATGCTAACCCTAGGAATATAAATATGAATAATATGTGGTTCCACCCTCAAAGAGCTGCCAGATTAGCCAAGGGAAGCTCATGACACCGTGAACCCATGTGAGCACACCATTTACTCAATACTGTAGATGCGATTCTGGTTAATTTTTCTCTTGCGTATTTCTGGAATAGGAATCCTTGACTTACCTTAATAAATCAAAGCTGCCTCCTTACAGTAAAAGTAGAAACGGCCTTTAATCTTTTGGTAAATCAGAGATCTGGATGGTGATCAGCCCAAAGGCGTCCTGCGCATTGCGTTTGATCGGATCTTCTTTCCTGAAGGAACCACCCTTACCCGGAAGTTAATGCTACCATGTAGCAATTTCCTGACTTCGTAATTTCCCAACTCCTTTAAAACAACTCGGTTCCGTGAGGATTTATGAAACGGCTACCGGATACCAGACAAAGATGATCATAGTCTGTTTTTTTGCCATCGAGGAACTTACACCCTGTAAGCTAGGCAGGATTCTAAGACCTCCCGAGATCCCTGCTGTCCTGGTGTACATGGCCTCCCAATTATTCAATCGTACACTAATCTAGATACTGCGCTAAGGAATTCTGCCCAGGTAATTAAGATCTCAAATCAAGTGATGCTAAGATAGGGAGATTGTCCTTGGTGGGCCTGACCTAATCAGATGAATGAGCCCTTTGAAGGAACTGGGCTCTTCCTACGAAGAGGTTCAAAGCACAGAGTAAATTTATCACCAGGGAGATTCTCCACTAACAGCTTTGGAGATGGAGGGGACCACCTGGCAGGAATCAGAGAGCAGAGCCTAGGAGCTGAGAGTAACAGCCAGCAAAAAACCGAGAATTCAGTCTTAAAACTGCAAGGACATGAATTCTGCCAAAGACAAGAATGAGCTTGAAAAACGGACTTCCACAGAGCCTCCACACAAGGACTCGGTCTGCCCAAGACCATGATTTCAGCCTTGGGAGACCCTGAGCAGGAACCTCAGTTATGTTAGGTCGTGGCTGTGCCCAAACTTCTGACTAACAGAACAGTGAGCTAATAAACGGGGGTTGTCTTAAATTGCTGTTTGTCTCCATGTGTCATGCAGAGGTAGAAAACAAATACATAGGACAGTGGAAGAGACAGAAACATGAATTAAAAAGTTCAATATGCATCCTGGCTGGTACGGCTCAATTGGAGCCTTGTCCCATAAACCCAAAGGTAGTGGGTTTGATTCCCAGTCAGGGCACATGCCCAGGTTGTAGGTTTGGTCCCCAGTTGGGGCACGTTTGAGAGGCAACCAATCAATGTTTCTCTCTCACATCAATGTTTCTCTTCCCCCTTCCCTCCCTTTTCTCCCCTCAGTGAGCATGTCCTTGGGTGAAGGCTTAAAATAAAATTTTCAACATGCTATTGCAAATGTTATAAAATGTTTCTTTCTTTCTTTCTTTTTTAATATAGGGACCTCAAGATAGAGCAAGCTTCCTGCAATTATACCAGGTTCTGTCATTTAAAGAATGTACATTAATCTAAAGTTCCAAAAATGAAGAGATTTCTTAAATTTGAGACTGAACTATAGAAAATAAAGAGTTTTTCTTCTTTTTGGAAAGGAGGGAATTTAAATATTTACTTGACAAATACTTTTTGTCAGAATATGAAAAATAGAATTCTGTGTATAATGCAGTTGTTCAATGAACTGAATGAACACTGTTGTTTTTCTTAGAAAGGCAATGAGCTAAAGAGCAGAGCTTTTGGTGTTCTGGGTTGATCCCTAAGTCTGCAGCGTCAAGTTTTGGTACATCCGCAACTTACTGAATTGCCCCAAGCCTTGTTTTTCTCTTTTGAAAATGGAGAGAACAGTGAGACAAAGTATGCAAAGTCTTTATTCCAGAACCTGGCACATGGTAAGAACTCAGGAATTGCCATTATTATTACTTCTCAACTGCCTCTTGGGAATGATTTGTAGGAAGATCCGCTGATTCATTTTAAAAGTTAAATTCAAGCCCTGGCTGGTATAGCACAGTGGATTGAGCATGGGCCTGCAAACCAGATAATCGCGGTTCGATTCCCAGTCAGGGCACATGCCAGGGTTGCAGGCTGGTTCCCTGCAGGAGACGCAGGAAAGGCAACCATACATTGATGTTTCTCTCCCTCTCTCCTTCACTTCCTCTCTAAAGATAAATAAATAAAATCTTAAAAAAAATAAAATAAAAGTTAAATTCAGGAGTGACCTGAGGCTCTAGCGTGCTGAGGACTGGTCGCAGATGAAGAGCCATCTCTTTTTTCCCCCAAACATATAGAGCGGGGTTTCTCACGAGCAGCACTGTTGGTATTTGGAGCTGGATGATTCTTCCTTAGAGGAAGGTCTTGTGCATTGTAGAATGTTGCACAGCATCGTTGGCCTCTACCCACTAGCCAAAGGCATCTTCCTCCACTCCCCCCACCACTGTGACATCCCAACATGTCTCCTGTGCCAATCAAGTGTTCCCTAGAGGGCAACACTGCCTCCATTTGGGAACCACAGATTCAGAGAAAAGGGTCTTGCATCAGCTCTGTTTCAGTTATCTTGTTAACGAACGGAGAGGGTATGCGACCAAGGCAGTGGAAATCAGCCCTGGGAAGCGCGCCGGCAGAAATTGGTTGGACCTGGGAAAGGTCCGTTGCTTAGTCAGGAAGACCATATATCACTCCGCCTCACTCCCACCCGGGCAGAGCCCTGCGAGGCACCTCTTGAAGGGATGTATTCAGGCTCCAGGAACAGTTTGTTCCAGAACTTCAGGCAGGTCTTTTGTGTAGCCTGAGGATGAAGGAACATCAGGGCTGCCTGAATTCCCCCCTTTTTTGGGGGGTGGGGTGGGGCGGGGGTTGCCTTGGGGCATTGTTTGGAAGTAAAAAGAAATTAAAACACATCCCCGATGGTGGACAGAGAGTTGTGGTGTCTTCACTGGATTTAGCAAAATGTTTCTCTTCCACGAATCTAGACTTTGCTCTCTCGGAACCACTGTGTGGCTTTGGGAGACACGGGTTGATGAGAAGAGAAGGACTACTACTACTGGAACCCCACGCAGGCTGCGAGGTCTCGGGAGCCCAATCTGGAACTGCAAAGCTCATCCTAGGATCTCCTGCTCAAGTCGATTCTTTCACCAACCCCGTTCCCAAGTCCTCTGTGGCTTTTATTCTAGTGTGACTTTAACATATGATTTTACCTTTTATTTACTGCCACATTGAGACCTTTTAATTAGCCCTGCCCTCTGTAAACCTGCCCCCTCCTCACAGCCCTGCGATTCTGTCCTTTGGGGAATTAGGCATGAAGGGAAGTGCAGTGGCTGGCCCAAGTGTCCAAGGTAGTTGCCTTGTATCAAAGGGGGACTGCAGACCCCAAGGGTCAGGAGGTGGTGAGCAGTAAAGAAGGGTGTGATTTGTCAAGGAGGTGATGGGCGAGGTGATAGGACCCTAGGATCTGGAGAAGCAACACTCAGGAGGGCAACTTAGGAGGGATAAGTGCCATCTACCCTCCCTCTTGCCTTCCATGCACATTCAAGAAAGGTGCCACCTGGAGGAGGGGAGGTTAAATAGCAGGTAGGTGCCTGAGCTAAGCTTATGCCAAAGTTTGTTTCATTGCCACTGGAGTTTGAAAAAAAAAAAGTTAGACTGAAAGACCAGCAAAAATTAAAAATCTATATACCTAAGTCATTGTGATCCAAGTACTCCATAAGGTTTAGGAGGAGGATTTACTTCAGCGTTCCTGCCTCCTGGCCAGAAAAATTCATGCTGAATTTTGTTTCTGCATCTGTCAATCTTAGTTTAACAGAATCATTTCTTTTTTCTTATTCCTCTCAAAGGCTTGAATCTAGAACTTGAGGAAGTACTTAGTTTGGCTACATTTGCCGTCAAAAGACAACCATCTACTCCTTGGAGTGTGGCCTCCATCGCCAAAGCTGCCTCGTGGTCCAAGATGTCTGCTGGTGGTTCAGCGGCCATGCCCACATCCCAAGCAGGACAAAGGAGGGATGGAGGAAAGACCGGCACAGGACTACCATCTTCAGTACTCTTTTA